GAAAAATACAGAATGGTACTTTTGAGTACAATAAGTTTATAATACAATTTATGAATATTTAGTTAAAGTGGCATTTCCATTGTCACGAGTCGTAAGTAACCGTATATAGTACATATATACCTAGGGGTTTCAAACATTGACGGAAATGTCTCACTATAGGTCGACTCTATAAAGGCCCAAGGCTAAATTGTACATCCGTCCTCGAATATTCACTGGTTTCGAGTAAGATAATCCACCAAGTAAGAAGCTAACCTAAAGATAGAAACATTTATCAAAACATAACACGCGATCTTAACAATGCAGGAACAAAACACATGGGTGAGATCTTCAATATAATCTCTGTAGGAGTCCTAATACTCCCTTCTTACCGAATATAAGTTTGGCTCACTTCAAATCAAGACTACGGTAATACGTAGAGGTCACAGTTAAATTGACTTTATAACGCCAGAAAAACTCGCAACCTTTGTAGATATCAAAATCTCTAAGTCCAGAACTAACTCTGTCCTTCACCGATACTCAGTGTAGCGAGAAAGAGGTTCCGTCTCCCCAATGGAACCGTCCGTTACCCAAAACTTGAGTCTAATCAAACTTCGAGGAGAAGGAGATGTTTCCAAGGCTAGAGGTAGGCTGGTACTACTTCGGCAACACCTCTAAGCCAGACGTCAACTCGATTCACGGGACACTTACCCGAGAGACCGATTGACTCGAACTTTTTTACGGTAGTTAGTACAGCAGTTCCCGACTTAGTTCAATAAAACACATCCTACCTATATACATAGCTAAATAATATAAGGTCAGATAACATTATAAAGCAATCTGGCTATTAATGAAGATATAGATAAAATAATATTAAGTGAAAATAAAAATATATACATATAATAACAAATACACCTTGGGTTCCATGCAAGGGACGCAACACTTCTTCAGCTGGAATAAGAAGACCTGTCTTAACCATCTCCGCGATATGTCGCCTGACTTCCATTGATTCAACTATAAGTAGGTGTTACCAGACTTCCAATGATTTCAACGTTAAGAGTTACACTCAATCTTCTCAACACTCATGCAGACTCTTTGCTTGAGACTTTCAGTGATATGCTCTTTGACGTGACAGCGAATTATAGTGTTGAACTATAATAGCTTGCCAAGCAAATTAAAGTTTGGAACTGAGGAAATAAAATTTGATCAAACAATATGCTTTTTTCTATAATCGAGTATCCCCGAAGGAGGATTTTAAGGGGTTTCCCGAATTTTTTATATATTTTTTTTTCTCTTCAAAATCTCGTATTTATTTGGTTCATAACTCAAAAAAGCCTAATCCAATCGGATTCAAATTTTCAACCTTCGTGCACGGTCGCTAGGTCCAGATTTTTGGAACAATTGGCATGTTCAGGTGCCCCATGACCAAAGTTATGGAACTCATTCCTAGCATCTGAGAATGGCTTAGATTACTTCTAATGGAAATAAATCACTTTGTTAGACTTTTTTGGGAAATCCTACGTAATTAACACTATGTATGATAATTGTACTTATGTGTACCTGTGCCTAAGTATACTTATTTAGGTGGCGAAGCTTCAAACGTTCAAAAATTGTTTGTTAATTCGACGACGACGGGGAGTGAAGTGCAAGTGTGTAGTCGCAGACCTGACAATGTTATGTGTAAAATAATGAGATTATATTTTTTCCCATTAAATTACCAAAATATATTTCAGCATACTTCCTCCGAACGGATTCATTATTTAATGGTCGATGCATCTTAGGACCAGGATGGTTCTTATTTTGCTTCGTATGTACGTAGGCAAATTTATTGATGGAGTAAAATAATAATAAATAAAAGACTGGAATTGTTGGAATCAGTGTCATAACTGGAAAATAATTCATCATATCGGCTTCAAATTTTCACCACTAGTTTGGTTCCCTAAATGAAAGTTCATACTGTTACTGGGTGGCATAATTCCCAGTTTGACAGTTTTATTGAATAAATAGCGAATGCCATTTTTATTCAATATCTATAGTATGCTTCTTCTGATCGGCTTCAAAATGTTAATGATGATGATGATGATGTATTTTGTGAGAAGGATGATTCACCCCAAAGTTTAATCTGAGTCGGGGCCAATTTGAAATTTTACTGAAATTCTTAAAAAAAAAACTTTGAATCGTTTGAATAATTTCAATTACTGGTGATGCATTTTCTGACTGGCTTCAAACTTTGAACGTTGGTGAACTTTATTGTAACAAAGCTTGACGTTCATTTTAGCTGTGTAATTTTCAATTTGTCAATTTTATTAAATAGTTTTCCATAAAATAACTAAAGAAAAGACTTTGAACGGCTTCAAACCCAGAAGACTGGCGTATCTTAATTAATGGTATTTTTGTGTCGATAATTTTTGTGTCGATATTTAATTTTATCAAATTGGACTTTTTGTTTCAAAAAAAAAAAAAATAAGAATCAAACATGCTTTCTTATTGGATTGTTTAGAACTTGGTATAGAATATGAGAAAACAAAATTAAAAATATATATTCGTGTTTCAAGGCGTTTTTAAATTTATCGAGGATAGACTTTCCTATTTTTTAACATTTCTCAGCAACATTTCTGGTGTTTTTCTCCTAAATTTTTGTTAGTAACTCGAGAATGCATTATTCAGTCGGCTTCAAATTTTCAAAGCTGGTGCAATGTATCCACGGCAAGATCTGCAATACTATTGCTCAGCGTGGGTGTCTGTGGGAAATGTTACAGAGGCTATTACCATTTTATGTTTCCGCGTGATAACTAGAGAAAGCCTCGTCTGACAGACTTTAAAATATCAGCACTCGCGTATCTTCTTCAGAAGAAGTTTGGTGTTGTTAATGGAGTGTATGGATAACATTTTGCAACTTTTAATCTCGAAACTCTCTAGTATTATTTTACTTTATTGTACTGTTTTTGCCTAGACACTGGCGACAGGCTCTTGATCCAAGGAGGTGGACTTATCTTCCCCATGTCTGAACCGAACTTAATGCATAACATTCCACAGTTGCTATATGATAGACACTGTGTAATAAGTCATCGGATTTTAGTTCTCTTTTCCTTAATGGAAATTTTTCCTTGCGATAAATGGTTCAGCAAACCGATAACTTAAATGAGACACTTGTGCAACATTTTGGAATCTTCGCTGAGGAAACGTTTCGCCCGCCAGTGACTTCATCAGTCCAATGCAAAGCAGAACGGTTGAAAAAGAGTCGGAGTTTTATTAATCAAATAGATTTCCCGAAATAACTGGAGAATATATCTTCTGATCAGAAGTAAATCTCAGTGTCTGACTTTATTGAATTATTCTAAGTTAAATTTACATTATGTTCATTTAAGAAATCTTACTTAATTATCCACATGCGCTGGTAAATATATATATATATATATATATATATATATATATATATATATATATATATATATATATATATATATATATATATATATATATATATATATATATATATATATATATATATACATATATATATATATATATATATATATATATATATATATATATATATATATATATATATATATATATATATATATATATATGTATATATAAGGCAAACTGGGACCAGCACAAGCCACAATGAATCCAAACTTTTTTCTATGATTTACCAGCGCATGTGGATAATTAAGTAAGATTTATTAAATAAACATAATGTAAATATATTCTCCAGTGAGAATATTACTTGTTCTAACATCTTTGCTTGCATTCACACATCTGTTCAGCCACCTCAATCTATCACATATTCCTTCCCTGGACATTGCTTGCAATGTCAGTCGCCGGGTCACCATCTGGAAAAGACCCGGGCCGGGACAAGACCGGCGGACCTACAACAACAACTGCAATGTCAGTGTTGTCATTTGGTTTAGTACTGACTATTAACCTGTTAATCGTGTTATTGTAACTACGTAGCACATTAATGCCTTCTTGATTACGCAGATCTTAAATTTCTTTCAAGTTTTTCACATGCTACATTCTTCAGGCGTGAAGTTCTGAACATGTGTTTGTGTACGTACAGTAATGCTTCCAATGACTTTTTAGCATAATTTGTTCATTTGTATGACTGTTCTGCCGGTGGAATACTATTTAAAACGAACTCACGGAATTAACTACATATTTGTATACTTTTTGTGTGGTATCTGTATGTCAAATGATCTGTCAGAGTGATTGTCTCTTCATACCTACATGATCCATCCTTGCGATAACAGCAGAACATTGAACGTGTTAAAGAATTCTGGTCTTCCGCCCGAATAATCACAGGTTTCACAGTAATAATAATTGAGTGATCTCACTCCACATTCAAGCCAGATTACCTCTTTCTTTCTCAAGAATATCGTTACCTGATCTGTCATTTAATAAAAAATATCGTTTTTATTACCTATCGTTCATTCCTCGACTGACTCTCCGTACCTTCATGTTCTCACACCAAACGATGTATTAGAGACATCAGGTTATCTGACCAGATGATCGTGATGAGTTGCGTTCGAGATAACAGATCATCAAATACAGAACTCTCTTACCTTTTTAATTCTATAGAACCAGAGAGAGAGAGAGAGAGAGAGAGAGAGAGAGAGAGAGAGAGAGAGAGAGAGAGAGAGAGAGAGAGAGAGAGAGAGAGAGAGAGAGAGAGAGAGAGAGAGAACGCAACACAACAGTCACGCTGCACCAGCAGTCAGATCAACGTCTTGGAGGCAGCAATATCCCACATGAGCCACAACAGTACGTGAAGGAGAAATAGACCTGTGTTTGCACTATTGCTTATCTTGCCACTGCAGGGGAACCAGCTTGTGGTCGCTCCCCCTCTCAGTGTCAACACCACCAGAGACCTATTAACACGTCTTAACGGAGCCTCGGGCGGCCCTGGCCTTAAACCAACAAATCATTGGATGGTATAGTGTGGAAGGCTGCCTATAACGGAGCGTTACAGCGCTGAATATACACTGAGTGACAGGTGCGAATGTCCTCTCTGCACTTACTGAGTGTGTGAGTGACAGGAGGGGAGGTGGGTGATAGTGGGGCTGGCTGTGGAAGACCCACCACACCGACGAAGTCAACGTAAGCGTGGAAGCCACTGTACTTGTAGGGAGGACTGCGAGGTCCCGAACTGCTTCACCAACACGCGCCAAGATATATATGGGGGAGGGGAAACAATTTCAAAGTCTGAACCTTTCCTCTTCTTCACAGAAAGTGACACAAAAATCCCAGAAGGTAATCTGATATTATGGGCCACAGAGATACTCAAAGGTTTCCGAATGTTAACTATATAAAAATAATAAGAAATTTAAAAAAAAAATAATGACTGAAAAAATATTTCATAGGGAAAGAGTAATTCGTTATTATTATAATTATTATTATTATTCATTACAAAGGGTTAAACTGTAATGATCAGATAGCTACAAGAGAGCGGAAGGTAAACACCTTTGATCCAGGCACAGCAAGTTTATCTCCAGTTACCTGGATCAAGAGCTCTTCGCCAGTATTCCAGCAATATCACAACTCTGTGGATTGAGTGAAGACATTACAAGTCATGTTTTCCTACCTGAAATCCAGGAGAACGTTGGGCCCAGAGAACTGTACAATCCTCCTGTCGGAGGCACAGAGGGAGTCGATGAGAGGGGAAGAGGTGGAGGTACCAGCGTAGACCGCCACGAAGTCTGTAGTACATCTC